TTTCCTTACTGTATAAGAAGTATAGATAAATTATATACAATAAATTTGTAAGCAGTTTTAAAAATATACGTTAACTTATTATTTATACATTTTAATACTCTAAGTATATTCAGAAACATGTATTGTGATTAGTTTGCTGGATTACCTATGATTGCATGCGACATTTCTCTCATGGCCAATCAAATTTCTTACTGGCTTGGCGTTATTGGACAATCGCATAATATTGATACTGCATGTAGTTCAAGTAACAATGCTATAGTGAAAGCTTACAAGCTGATTCAGTCCGGAGAGTGCGACGCGGCCATTATCGCTTCCGCTCATCTATGCCTCCATCCTCTTGTACAATTTCACTTTTACCATCTAGGTATGTATTTATTATATCTTATTATATGGCGTATTATATATTGTGTATGGATCATAAACATTTTTTGATATGTTTATTTATATCTCATTTATTTCCATTTTTACGCAAATTTCAGATTTTAAATAATCATTGATTCAGTTAATCATTGATCATATGTCGTTCTTTTGTTATATTAATACGATATATCTGAGCAATTTCCACGTCAATATCGGACGAGAATGACCTCGTATTTTAAATTGATCGAAATCGACAAACTCTTGTTGTGTGTGAATTATATTAAGATTATGTTATTATTTTACGTTTCTGTTTATCCAATAACGTGTTCTGTAAAACAATCACACTCTTTGTCTATAACGTTCAATAAGCCTATGCTTCCTCTCTATCTTTACATTTAGATATTGAATCGAAGCTTAAAGAACTTTATTTAATAACATGAATTAATTTCCTTCTAGGGGTTTTATCTTCTGATGGTTACTGTAAACCCTTTGACGAGGAAGGTTCCGGATATATGCGTAGTGATACGGTCGCGGTAGTATATCTGCAAAAGGCAAGAAATGCAAAAAGAATATATGCAACCCTCGTATATGGTAAAATAAATTGCGATGGTTTTAAAGTAGAAGGTGTTACCTTTCCATCGGTCGAAAAGCAAAAAATATTGTTGAGTGAATTTTATAAGGAATGTGAAATCTCGCCCAATGAGTTATCTTACGTAGAGGCCCATACAACTGGTACCCTTGCCGGTGATCCCGTAGAAGTTATGGCTATTGACCAGGCTTTATGCGCTAAAAGAAACACTGCTTTATTAATGGGCTCGGTAAAATCGAATCTTGGACATTCCGAACCCGCTAGTGGCCTTTGTCAAATCGCAAAGGTACATTTGTAATAAAATGATTTACCATTGATTTATGCTTAAAGTGTGATTATAGCACTTTATATTTCTTTACATCATTATAATTAAATATAGGTACATATGTACCTATATAATATATTTATAAAATAAATACTATAATTATAATTACTGCTAATAAAAAGATGTGGTTTCTTAAAGGTATTATCAGCGATGGAAACTGGTATAATTACGCCTACTATACACTTCAAGCGTCCGCGAAAAGAGTTAACTGCTATTATCGAAGGAAGAATAAAGATCGTCACTGAACCAACAGAATGGGAGGGTGGTTATGTAGGTATCAATACTTATGGATTTGGAGGATCTAATAGCCACATATTATTAAAATCAAATCCTAAACAAAAAATTAACAATGGAGCTCCAAATGATGATTTACCTAGGCTTGTAGCTGTGTCTGGACGTACGGAAGAATCAGTTAAAATCATCTTAGATGATGTAAGCAAATGTTATAATGGATTATTTCATTTATTTTAGAAATAATTTTTTACATTAGCTTTGTATTATCATATAAATATAACAAACTTAACAATTAAATATAAGGGAGACCGGGGCAAACTCGACATCGGGGCAAACTTGACACTAGGCTTTTTGCCAATTTAAATCTATTGTAGAAACTTGCCTTTCCTACTGTAAATGCGTCTTTATGTGCCAGTATCAATGGAATTTGGTGACATTCTGAGTTATGGTGTAATTTTTAACGCGACATAAGCGTTTTTGATGGTAAAAAGTAATTTTTTTGATCTCTTAAAAATTTCTACTCTTTCATCGAACTTTACTCTTGCGGATCTATATGTAAGTAATTTTGATGAAAAATTTGATGCTCTATACAAATCCGGTAATAGTTTTTGCATATTTTCAAAATTTTGATGTTTTTGGAGTGACAAAAATAAAAAACGACTTTTGGGGCAAAGTCGACACTACGTTGTTTCATCGGCTCCCAATAACAAACGATGCTTGTCATGCAGTCATATGGCTTATGACAAATGTGTGTGCACATCCGTTCGCGAATTTATTTGCATAAATTGTTTTTCAGATATGAGTTTAAATGAGAATAATTAAAAGTTTAACAATTTTTGTGCTCATTATTTCCAATGAATGTTTACTTAATTCCAAATTTTTGTACTTTCTAAATACACGATAAACAATTTTTTAGTTTTAGACAATAAAAAATTAAGTTTTAGATCAAGTTGTATTGATCAGGCAAAGTGTCGAGTTTGCCTCGACATTTATTACCAATTTGAAAATTTGTATTTGCGTCATTTTTCCTTTCCTGGGGGCAAAACTAAGCGACGTACAGTAAAACTTCCTTAAACAATTTTGTACCTAAAGAAACATTATTTAAATGTGTACCATTGAATTTGCTTGAAAATTTTAATTAATTGTTGAAAATTGTCTTTGAAAAAATCGTGTTGAGTTTGCCTCGGTCTTCTCTACACACGTATATTTATATAGTGTCTAAGAAGATATTTGCGTACATAATCGCTTTCGAAATTATTTCGAATTTGCACAAAAAAGAAAAGTCAATGTATTACATACATATTTGTTTAATATATTAAGTAATAATAATGCATTTAATAATTGCTAAAGTAAATTACTGCAAAATAAAATAATATTATCGTCCTTTTTGGTATAAAGTTATTCCAAGAATTATAAGATGTACATTCTTGTCACTGAATGCAGGTGCGAAATCGACCAATAGATGCTGAGTTTATATCTCTGCTACATCATATTCATAATGATGATATAGAAGGTCATCCTTACAGAGGATACATGATAACTGGGTCTGAAATATCTCATAATACAATTAATAAAATAGAACATACTCCATATATCAGAAGACCGATTTGTTTTATATTTTCTGGATTAGGATCTCAATGGTTTGGGATGAGTAAGTAATTATATTATTATGAAATATTTTAAATGTACATTCAACAAAGAAGAATTTTAAGTTATAGGATTTATAAATATACAGAATGTATATACAAATATGGAGTATTACGATTATGATTATAACATATTCTT